ATCAAGCTTAGAGCCTATTTTGGTGCCTATTTCTCAAAATTTTCTCAGGGCGCTTGAGCGCGCCCTGAACTCCAGCCGTGTCGTCCCGCACTTTTCCTCGCTCCCCTTTTCTGGCCCTACAATTACATTCTGCTGTGGATTTTGGCTCGCGTCAATCAACTTGGGGGGCCCCCATGTAGCCTACATCGTTTCTTAAATACATACCATTTTTTTAAGAATACAAATAGCCTAGTTTTATATCTAACAGCAAATTATTTACCACCCCCTAAATTTTGAAACACCCCCCCTAAAAAGAAAAGCTGGGGAACATACTGGCGGGGATGATCATGTGCGGGAGGAATGCTGGACTCCTCGCCGCCGCAGGATGGTTCAAGTAACCGCTGGTCGGCTACGGCTTCCTCCACCATTAAGTCCATGCTTCCGAAAACAAATAACTGGCTAACTAATCCCAAACCCGACCTGGACTGGTAACCGGATGAGAGGCCGTGGTTCGTCATATGATTAAGCCGTCTTATCGGCTTTCCTCTCCTCGGGATAATATGTAAATCCTATCTTCTAACCCGGTGCGTTTTCTTTCGCTCATATTGATTACCACTTTATTCCTCATAAATTACTCGACATGATTCTTTAAATGTCAAGAGCAGATTATATTCGTTGATTCAGGAAAGTTTATAGATATGAACTTGCCTTGCCTTTTCATCGGTTCCTGTTGTTAGCAATTTTGTATCGACATCAAAGCACCGGGAAGTAAGGAGAAAAACTGAGCAATTTTGCAATTTTGCAAAAAAAAGAGTGAATGTAGGCTACAAAGGTCCGGCGGATCACCAGTCTTGTTTGTGACCATACACCTCAATGTTTGTGGCGGATAAATTCTTGATTGTGGTAACTGCAGAACTGTTACGCGAATCTCGCGAAAGATTGAAAGTTTTGTACACACTTACGGTATTGTGGTTGAAACCCAGATTTAGTTTAGGAAGACATAGGAATTGTAGCAAATATGTTAATATATTAAATATATAATGCCAATGTTTTTATTATAAATGCTTTTGCCCTACAGCTACAGCCCTAGGTACAGTGCTGCAGTGATAGCTGTACGATAAGATCATTACGGTACCGGTACTGATCATAAAATCAGGAGAGCAAACAAAGCCTTAGACAAGGTTTAAAACGACCTAGGTAAAACCAAGGGCCAACTTGCCTAATGTTAAACAATTCATGGACGCCATCTTGTGCCATATTTGGGAAACGCAAAACAATGGAGTCTTATGGAAAATTTTCGTCGTGTTGTTGTACCAAATCGAACAAGTCCGCTGTTATAAGGGCTAGAATGAAACTGAAGGGTGGATTTTGAACTTTAAGATATACACTATCTAAATATATAACGCAATTAAGAATAAAAAACTATCTAATGCGTTAAATTTGACCACAAACACAGCGTAGAACCATTTTTGGTAATTTTTTTTAAAGTTTTTATAGTGATACGCCAATTTGAGGCTGTAAAATGTCTCCGCAACAATCCTACAATGCCATTTGTTCTTCTAGCGCAGCTTGGAGCTGAGCAGTAGGGCATTATGGAGCTTGACAAACGAATAATGCTAAACAGAAAATAGAAACCTTCATTGAGGCAAAGTTGGTTCGGCCAGTAATTTCGACGAATAAATACAACTTTTCATCTGTGACGTCATAAGGAACGCCATTGTCAAATGGTGAATTATGACTATGACGATTAGAATGGCCAATTTACTTCGGAAGCAAATCGGAACCGGTATACTTGTCTCCAAAGACAATTTAATGTACTATAAATGTAATTTGGCCAACATGAAAAGATATAAGCATGTACGGCTAAGATTCTGCCTCAAAACGCGACCTCCAAAATTTTTCTACTTAAAAATTAGTGAAAATAATAGGTATGTTTCAATAATTGTGTTGGAACTTCTCATAAGGCGCCGTTTTAAATTGCCGAGAACAATAGGCACAGGATGGCGTCCGTTGTCTGAGTGTTGGCTCGCCTATATTATATATACGCTTTGGGTAAAGCTAGCGGACACTTCCAGCGTACAGTTACCAATTTTTCCAAATTTGAACCCGCCATGTTCCACGACAGTTGTCGCGAATTCACTTAATTGCGGCTAATAGAAAGCCATATTCGTTATTGTGCCTCAGCTTATGTTCATCGCCAATCGTCCATTCTCAAAAAAATTCAAAGTGTTTGCAATCGCTTTATTAGAAGAGTTTTTCATAGAGGTAATCGCGATTGATGACTTATTTAAAGAGCATAGGCTACTACGAGTTGTGGATTTAGCTAAATTCGAACTATGTAATATGATGTTCTCATGTCACATTGGAGAGCTTCCGTCCAGCCTGAACAGCCTGTTCCAAGCAAACCCAAATTCAAACAGCAGAAATAAAGATAATTTTTTTATTCCATTTGTCAGTAAAAGTATTTCACAAGAATCAATCGCAGTATGTGGACCAAAAGCTTGGAATTCCCTACCCGATGACATCAAAAATTCAAAATCGAACTCAGAATTTCGTTCCAAACTTAAACAATATATATTATCATCATATTAGCAATTTTCTCTGCTTTGAACATGTTACTGTTTGGAGATTATTTTTCTAAGGTCAGTTCAACACTGAAAGGGAGAGCTGTTGATTATTTGGATTGAATGAACTATCAGGAAACTGTCCTCCTCTTCAGTCACCATAGACCAGCTGACAATTTCAATAACTCCACAGGATACTTCACCCGGATTCAATATAGAACAATGGACTGAATTGATAACTAGCACACCATTCTAATTTCATTATCATGCGTAATTAGACAACAACAAAAGCACAGCAACTTAGGTTATAGATAGAATGCTCAAATAGTAGGGAGTAGGGACAATGGTTTTTGTTTGAGTAGCATGCTGTTCAATTTATTTCCATTGTTGCTACCTATCACCGAATCACACTTTTTCTTCTGCTCATCCCAGGATACCATATAATTTTATTATTTTAATTTACATTGGAAAATCCATGACATGGTAAAATGGCTTCTCTTTATAACTTATCATTCCCTATCCCACTGTACCTTTATACCTTTCTAATCTTCTGGCTGAAATGCAACCATAATAGGTTTTGTGGAAATGCTTTTATTAATTTTTTTTTTTTTTTTTTGAAACTTCATTGTTTTTGGCTGAATCCAGAATTTCAAAAAAAAACCTTATAATAGTGAGTCATTTGATACATACTTTTTTTATCATATTTCGCCAAAACCTGTAGGGTCACATTTTGGCCAGAACAGCCATAGACCACTTATAACACTGTCGCCCTTGAGTGGTGCATACCATATATGTACACACCCTTTAAACTTGACCATTCCCGCGTTTCATAGTATGTGGTATCATCACTCAATGGTATTGTACATTCATCCAAATTCTTAATTTTTTTTTTTTTTTTTAAAAAAAATTTTATTACTATATTCATATGCATTGTGTCATGTTGTGTTGTGTCTCTATTTATAGATGTTGTTTTGTCTAACAAACTCCTTTGTACAAACAGTTTTGTACACTCCACCCATATCCCTGTTACCGCTTCCACCCACCCTCCTCGCACAACTGCCTGTATAAAGGACCATATTGTACATATTTGATTTACCCTATTATAATTTATATAAATCAAAGGGGTGTATGCCGCACATCTGTGTTTTAGGCCAATATGGTCTTGTGCATACATCCCGTCCTCAGTATTTATAAGTACTTACTCTTTTATATTGCTTTTACGAGACGAATAAACATACATACAACTGAGTTGACGCGTAATTTATGCAAGAAATAATTTTATTACGGTATGTATTTTATATTTGTCCACCAAACACACTGCATTAATGAATTGGATGAGAAAAAATTCCTTCTTACCTAAATTACGCTTTAACTGAGTTAAATTCACGATTTCTTATATATTTTTTTTAATTGGGGGGGGGGGGGGATTTCCTACTTTCCGCACGGTGGATTTTTTTTAAATTTTAATATGTAACTTATATTTGTCCACTACATACACTGTATTAATGAATTGAATGAGAAAATATTTTTTCGTGCATAGATTACGCTTTAACTGAGTTAAATTGATGATTTCTTAAAAATTTTCTTTGAATTGGGGGGTATTTCCCAACTTTCCGCATGGTGGAATTTTTTTAAAATTTAATATGTGTTTTATATATCTCCATCAAATACACTGTATTAATGAATTGAATGAGAAAAAATTATTTCTTGCATAAATTACGCTTCAACTCAGTTAAATTTTAGATTTTGTCGATAAATTAGCTTCTGAGCAATAATTCATTTTACCGAGAAAAAATGTTTCAGGTCTGTCGTTAGTTTCTAAAAGGACGAATCGCCTCATTTTTTGCATCCATGTAGCCGCAATTAAGTGAATTCGCGACAACTGTCCTCTTTATTTGCGATCAATTCTTGGAACATGGTGGGTTCAAATTTGGAAAAATAGGTAACTGCCCGCTGGAGGTGTCCGCTAGCTTTACCTAGGTTTTAAAACGTACAGAATATATTTATATAAAAAGAAAGGTTTTGCCAAAAAGAAGTCGTACGTGTTCACTGACGCACCTATAATATAATAATTGAATCATTTCACACAGCCGTTTTACAAAAAGTGGCGCGGCGGTGTGGCTCAACGGGCTAAGCGTTAGGAATACGCTCGCCACCGCACCTCTAATTACTCTGCGTGGGTTCGCAGGTTCGAATCCCATGCAGGGATGGTTATGTGCGAGAGGATTGCTGGACTCCTCGCCGTCGTTTGGGTGGTTCACGTAACCGCTGGTCGGTTACGGCTTCCTCCACCACCAAGTCCATGCTTCCGAAAACAAACAATACAGTAAAACTAATCCCATACCCGACTTGGAATGGTAACCGGACGAGAGGCCGTGGTTCGCCATATGGATAAGCCGTCTTATCGGCTCTCCTCTCCCCCGGGATAAATATGTAAATCCTATCCTATCCACATACACAGAACTACAAAAAGTAAGAAGAACGCGATAAATTACATACCTGTCTGCATGTAGTAAAATGATAAAAAATAAAAGAAGTAAATAAAAATTGCTTGCCGCACCATATTAATAAATTTATAATGGTTGCCACTATTGTACATTTATGACTCTAATAATGACTTGAAAATTTGATAACCAACTGGATAATATGTATTTAAATGAATTGAATATTACTGATGCTAAATTCATCGAATATACAACTGTACAATGGTAATGCGTAATGGGAATTATATTGGATGGTGACATTTAATGTAATGTGATGAATATTGTTTTCTTGTTTTAACACATATTGACATAGCCTATCATATAAATTTTATTATAGCTGTTATTATCAAGTCCCCGTATAAGTTACGACAGTACAACAGCCTCAATGCCAGTCAATTCTGCAATTAGGAGTTGGTCAACCTTTTTAATACAGTAATATCACAGTTATGTTTGTTTCTATTCAAGTTAAACCAAAAACTGATACATATAACTGTATAAATTTGATGAGTAACCCAATGTACAATGAAGCCTGCTTTCAATTTCAAACTGAACCATAAAGTACACCCTGGAACATTAACAATTGGGAAATATGATGGAATTCATTCTTGTTTAACCGCGGCAACTACAGCTGGGAAGATCATTATCCACAACCCTTATTCAAGTGTTACAGGAGGGGAGAGAGTCACGATAGAAGGCACGAATATCAGCTTACTGAATATTAATCAATCTATTACATCTGTAAAAGCAGGTAGGAATGTTTTCAAGTATCAAATAAAAATCATTTTGTTATATTTATTTGTTTTTATGGTTTCTGTTTTAATGGTTCTGTGGTTGTATCACCTTCACCTTTGATATCACTCATTCTTAAAATTATTCAATTTCTTGATGCAGGTTCATTAGATGCACATGAAGGAAGAGATGTTCTTGCAGTTGGCACTGCTACAAATCTACTTCTGTATGATGTTCACAATAACAAAGATCTTTTTTATAAGGTGGTGTTATATCTTGACTAGTACAAATGTTGGGTCTTGTATAGTTTCGTACCTAAAGTATTTCTAGTGGGGTGTATCATAACGTTTTTTGCACATGTCAATCTTAACCCCCACTCGACTACGCCATCCAAAAATTACTGGAAATACGTCATCAGAAACACATCATAAAGCTTGCTACAGTATAGCTACGATTCCCGAAATGGCATCTGCACCGACAATAAAGAACTCACTAACGGCAGCAATCTTTCTCGGATCGGGATCGTTGGTTTATTGGAAATAGCTTGGTTTATTTTGAGTGATAGTCTGTGCGCCTTGGATGACAGTGCTTATAGTTTAAAGGCCCTTATTTTGTCACTGTGACGAAATTTTCGGATGACGCAGGCAGTTGGGAGTTAGGTTTGACATATGCAAAAATTGTTATGCTACAGCCACTAGAAGTACTTTAGGTACGAAACTACACTAGCCCCCAAATTTTTTAGGATGTTGTGGGGAAAATGTAAGTCTTTAGCTAATGGTATAGCGTATAGTATCTAGTTTAGGTTGAGTAGGATAATGGCTAACCATATATCAGTATATATGGTCTATCTGTTAACATAAATGTGAACTTTTTATACAAATCCCTCTTATTCCCTCCCCTACAGTATTCAAATTGACTGTGTAATGGAGAGCATTTTTCTGTTGTTTAGCACAATTATTTTTTTGTGAATCCATAAACAAAAATCAAAAATTAACAGTATTGTTAAATTATATAAGTTTTCAGATATTGCTTGTTTATGAATGTTTTGTCAAGAATTGTATAGAAATTTACACTGTCTATTTCATATATGATAACTAGACCTTCGTAGATTTCATAAAAACAAATTCATTATGTATTTTTTTTTTTCAGATTTTTGTGCTCTACTATGTACTCAAGGTCAACATAATTAGCCCACTGAAAAAGATTATTAAAAAATTAGGACAGATTAATATTTCTCCGCCATTCGAAATTTAATTGATTTCTGTTTATCTTTTGCAGGAGTTCCAGATGGAGTGAACGCCCTAGAAATTGGAAAATTGGGTGACATTGAATATCCATGGTAATTGCAGGTGGAAATTGCACATTACAAGGCTTTGATGTTGACGGTGAAGACAAGTTGGTTGAAGACACTTTTAAATTAATTTTTATTTGATAGATTGGTTTCAATTTATATATATATTGTTATATGATTGCGGATAAATGCTTTATTGTATTTCTCTAAAATAGGTACTGGACAGTTACTGGTGACAACATTTGTGCTCTTGCTTTGGTTGATTTCACAAACAATGGAAAAAAAGAACTTATAGTTGGGTCTGAGGATTTTGATATTCGTGTATTCCAGGTGCAACTTTTGAAAATTTATATTTACTAAAAACAGTCCAAATTTAAAATAGCTTGGTTAAAATCCTAAATGAAGATCATGAATGATAGTGTTATACTGTTATTTTTTACAAAAACGTGTCATTTTCGAATATTTTGTGGTTTTGCATTTCGTCGTGACATGCCTGCAGCTTGGAGAAAGATATCATTACATGAAATATAAATCTTCTACTTTCGTGGTTTGATAGGAAGATGAAATCATATCAGAAGTTTCAGAGAATGACACTGTTACTGGTTTATCACCAATTTCTGGTAGTCGATTTGCATATACATTGGCGAATGGAACTGTTGGTGTATATGATAGAACTGCTCGGTATGACTAAGTTATTTTATGTTCAGGAGTGATAGCTTATAGCTTACTACACATTTATTCCTACTTTGGTTCGAATTTGTAGCAATTCATATGCAGATAAATATTTGTGGGCCAAAAATGAGACCTGTTACTTACTAAATAAGACAGTACCCACACCCACATGCTCAGATCTTTTCAGCGTTCGAAAAAGTTTCAATGGAAGCCCAACCTTTTTGCATTTGAGCTATGTTTTTTGGTTTTTGCTCCCTCTGATTATTCTAAATATTTTCACGAATTGTCCTTAACATGTCAAAATATTTTATATTGGTGAGTCACCTTCTCCATGTTGCTTATAATTACTAATGTGGACCTCCTGAAGTATGCGCACCAAGATGGCTCACAACCTGAACCCAGGTTGTGTACCCGGTTAGGGTTCAGGTTATGCGACATATCGGTGCACATACTTCAGGAGTACCACTAATGTTATTAAGCTTATTATGCATAGGCGTAGCCAGGGGGCCTTGCCCTCCCCCAAATTGTCAACATTTTTTTTAATTGATTTTCAATACCATTTTGCTCTAATCTTGATCAATCAACTGATAAGTGATAACCCGACATTTTTTGGCTTATCATCAATAGCTGTGAGAAAGAACCGTATCCTATTATGTTATATTTCAGTAAAAAATTCCTTCACCAAAATTACCAACAAAAATTAGTAAATATACTAACTTTTCACAAATTGTAGTTATTGGAGGGTGAAATCGAAGAGTCAAGTGATGGCAATCCATTATTTTGATATAAATGGTGATGGAGAACCAGAACTCATAACAGGATGGTCAAGTGGAAAAATTGATGTGCGTAACACTAAAACTGGAAATGTGCTCTACAAGGTATGAAATTGTTTTCCAATTTCACCTGGCTATATTCAGGTAATTAAAAATTCTAATGGTAATTAAAAGGTATACTATGAATAAACTAAAATACAATTCAGGACACAATGTCGAGTGCTATTGCTGGGATAGTGGATGCAGATTATAGAATGGATGGGCAAAATCAGTTGATATGTGTTTGCGTTGATGGTGAAGTTCGAGGATATGATCCTATAATAGGAAAAGCTTCTGAAGCAGCTTTAAATGCAGATCAAGTTCAGGTTCCTAAAATTTCCAATACAATTTTATGTGATGAAAAATTGTTAATTATTTTTCCTCGTTACAGTGCAGAATGATTTTTTAATTTTATTGCTGTCTCAAACGATATTGAATCATTTCAGAATACTAAAGAATGATCAATGGTGATTATCACTTGAATATATACCATTATGGATACTCCTGTAGTGTGTGTATCAGGTTAGGGTTAGGCCATAATTTTATTCCGTTTTTCCTTATTTCAATACTTTTACGAGTTCGGGGACTGTCTGTGTTAGCCAAGTGAATATACCCTCTGCCCATAGTCTTCAGTCCCTTTACACAAATTGATGTAAAGTAAGCGAGCAAAATTAGTTGCTTCCATATTGGTACACACTACACACACTTATGGACCGCCCTATTAGGGGTTCAGAATTTACGTTGCTAATTATCATATCGTCAGATGAGAACAGAACAGGCCAAAGTCACAATTTGAGTTTTGAGAAAAACGCAAAAAAAAATCTTGAATTTCGTTATTATTGAATTTCTAGATATTCATACTTAGTGAAGACCTGAGCTCTGGTTATTTGAATGTGGATGAGAATATCTTTGTAATCAATATATTTTGGCACTTCTTTTCAGTTTTTTTTACCCCCCAAAAAGAAATTTTTGCCCATTCTGTTTTCAACAAGTTCTGAATTTTTTTGTATTGGATGTAAGATAAAACAAGGTGACTTAGGCCTAAGTTGCACTGAACAAATGCTTAGACATGTAAGTTTCGTACTTTTTATTTCTGATGTCCATGCCCATCATATTGGAACTCAGGCCTATTCTGTTCTTAACTTCTACAAAATATTATAGTCCTATGTCCAGCTAAAATTTTTAATAATTCAGGGTTTTCACCATCTTGTAAAGCACGACTCAAAACCCCAAAATATTGAAAAAAATGATTTCCCAAAATTGTACTTATGCCTCTTTTGTTCTCATCCGGCGATATTTTGATTTAATAGTTTGGCATATTTGTCGTTCATGGTGCCCCATCCCACTATATGCGTTATACTACATGTATTATATTTTGACAGGAACAAATACGTGACTTAAGCCAACAAAAGCAAAGTCTATTACTTGAATTGCAAAATTTTGAACAGGCAAAGCTGTCTGAAAAGTCATCCATGCTGTTATCACCAACAGAAAAAACTCAGGTAATCAATTTCTTACAAAGCAACCCATTTTTGGGAGGGATTTCAAGAACTGTAAATGTTCTCTTGATAGATCATCCTTATAAAGGGCTGCATTGTTTCATTGAATTATTTTACTTGCAGCACCCACATTATCACATCTTAACTTATTCTCCTTGTTGAGGTTTGCGTTTTCGTATATCATTAATAAGGTATGATCTTGATTCTAAAAAGGTCTATGCTGCAATTTACTACTTCACAGGCTATTCCCATACTTGCCTCAAACTCGGTATTCAGATTGTGTGGCCCGTCAAAAAGCAAAAACGCGCAAAAATAGTGAAAAATGTGTCTATGCTCCATTGTGTTATATATTCATAATTAAAATTCTATTCTATATATCTGCAATATTTTAATTAATATCTTTATGCTGTAAGTTTTTCAGTCCTCGTTTAATACATTATTACTTATCGATCTTAAGATCGGTAAATCTGTTGATAGGTATTTGTCTGTCTGTCTGTTTGTTTGTTTGTTTATTAGATGAACGCAAATATCTCACAAAGGCGAGGTTCTGCTCCAAATTTTGCATGTGCATTCATGTTTCATATCTCGGACCAGAAGCCTATTGATTTTGGATGAATTATGTCGTATAATTAGCGAGTTCGAATAATTAGCGAGTTATTAATTAATTAGTGATGGGACACGCGGTGTCACTATATAGAGTCATGAATCGAAACCGCAGTTTTGATCGATAAGTCTTCAGTTTCCAACCGATATTCTTGTTAATTTATATCTACAGGAATGGAATTAGAATATTGACTATCACACCAATTTAGGTGAAGACAATTCCAAGTTTGATACCTAATGGATATTATTTCTTGTTCTTAGGCAGGTATGATTCCAATCAGTACTGAATTGAAGACAAAGCTTTCCATTGATGGAGGAAGTGAGAACCAACGTCCCCATATCAAACTCACTGTATATACGACTAACAATGAAGTTATTATCAGATTGGTAACTGTGTTTGCCGAAGGAATTTTTGATGGTGAGTATGTATGTTGAGATAATTATCCATCTAAAAAATCTTTCTTTCCTGGTGTTCTATACAATGTTTATAAAACACTTGTTTGCCATCTTGCACTTAGATGGCGTGTGGCTCAGTCGTTAGTCATTACACTGAGCCTTATGAACACACCACTTAAAACACAGCATTTAATATAGAAACAATAAAACATTTATAATAAATACAATATGTAAAATATTCAATCATATTTTAGTTATGTTCAACACAATTCTGTTAATTTCGGAACCGCTGGTCTAAGCCATATTAACATAAGGTGAATTTAAGCTTGTTTAAATAAATTTTTCTGGACATTTTGATTACACAGTTTGTATTAAAATTTGTAATGACAAGAGATCCTTATCTACTGGTGTCTGTGAGCAAAACCTTATCTTGTACTCTTGACATAGGTGAAAGTTTTGTTGTTCATCCACCTTCAAATCAAATATCTAACATGATTGATGTTCCACTGAGTCCTCTGAAAGATACTGAAGTTGAACTTCACATAAAAGCATATGTTGGACCAAGAAATAGTCAAAGTTTCCATGTTTTCGAAGTCGCAAGGAAGTGAGTATCTATCAGCGAATGAATTCCTTATGCCCTGTCCCTGGGCTGCTATTTACTAAACCTCAAACACTGAAGCCTAGGATATACTATATTTAACATATTCAATTCATTTTTAACATCACTTCACAAATCATCTTCTCATAGTCATTGGAAATTATAGCCGAAAGCAATTGCTAACGTCACAGACTGATATAGATACTGGTTCGTGAAATACCACTTCAAAGAGTGACTGAATTGCTGTTAGTTTTAATGGCCTGGCCTTGTCGAGTATTATTATTTGCTGAGTGGGGTACCAGATTAAATAGTAAACACATAGTAATGTTAGTCTCTATTATATATTACCTCTAGTGCCCTACACAGCATATTCAACCTCCCTTTTCAGGTTGCCTCGATTTGCGATGTACTCCTACATGCCGACTTCGCTCCCAGAGCCTCAGGGTTATGTAACTTTCTCTATCAGTGATCGAATAACACGTATATTGATATGGCTGAATGAAAACTTCCTAATACTGGATGCCGATGGAGATCCAATTAGTCTATCGCCTGATAATGAAGATCAAGATTTCTCTGTCAATTTTTTGTTATTGAGAGGAGGTGGTCCGCTCATATTGAATTTTGCTGTAGGAGGTATGTGTGGAGTATTTATTTAATTTTTTTTTTAGCGGAGAGAAACATATCTAGGCCTGGTATATTTTTTATGCTATGTCCATGCAATATATAAGTAATATATTTGGATGGATGGTATGTGTTGTTGCTCAAATTTAAACCAAAATTAGGCACAGCTGTTTGAAAATAATTTCTGGGTATTATATACATTGTGTACTTATTTGGAAAATTCTGTGAAGATAACCGTCTCAATTTTACTAAATGTCACCTCGTTGAAAAATTCAGCAGGAATTATACATTCATGATAATGAAATAACAGTTAAATCTATGGAACATTTATTTCTACCAGTATAAAATGTTAACAGTTGGCTAATTAAGTTCAACAGAAATTTAGCATTATTTTGTATAGTTATGCTTATGCTTCATTCATAATGTCATTCGTTTTTATTCATCATTTCATGTATTTATGAATATAGTATATATTATTAATATTCATAGCCATATTTTTTTATTTATCTCGTGATAGACAAGTTCAAAAGTAAGTGAACATGTTCTTTGTTTTAAAGGCATGACGTATTATGTTGTACTGTGTAAGTGTGTAGTGTTGTACTGCCCACTGTAAAATTATATATTTCCAACTTTATTACTTGTAAATTTAATTTGAATCAATTCACAAATAATGCCATTAGATTCTTGGTTATAATATGCTGTTGAAATTTTGTGAAATTGTGTAAAGTATGGTAAATAAAAGGTATATCATTAAAAAGGAACGTTTTGTTGTTTTCTGACAGACCCATTTGGTTGTAAGTATTGTTAATCAATAAATACAATATCATCACTATGTTGTATGCATATTGTCATGATGCACAATTGCATGTATGTTGCTTGTTTTTTATTTGTTGTTATGATATTTTTAATTAAGAAAATATCACAACCATAATTCAAAATTCATCATACTGTTATGAGGATTCTCATAACATAAATTATGAACAATTGGTAATTCGAGGAGTATAACTATCGATGACTAAAGATAACCAATGAACAATTAATAAAAAATTTTCAGTCATAATTCCGAAAAATTATTTATCATACTTGTATGATGATGACTTTCATACCATAAATTATGGACCGTTGAAAAAGTACAACTATCAATGACCAGAGATCAGCAATGAACAATTCACATGCACTCTGTCATAGCAATCTTGAAATGTACTTTAGTACATCATTAAAATTCTATTGACAAAAGCAAACATTGTTGCATGCTGTATCAGTATATCATTCCCACCCTTTTGCCTTCTATTCTTGACTTTATTTATATATTGATACAATATATTCTTCCTAAATTTTTGTTCGTTTTGAGCACATTCAATCCACTAGTAATTGATTTGAATTTCTACTGGTAAGTAAGTACTTGGTAATTTGAATGATTTTGGTGTTTTCAACAAAACCCAGGCCTTAATGGAATCCTAATGCATGGCCTTCCTGTAATTCTTGTTATTTTGTGAATAGTAATGATGAATTTCATATTATGATATTTGATATTAAAGTAATTTACAACATTGATGTACTTTTTGTACATATTAAACTCTGAAGATTACAATATTGTTATATTACATTGAAACTTTGTGATGCAATGGAAAGTTGCTGTTATAAAACAAGTGTTTTTTTTTAACTAGGTATAAAATGACTCCAAAATAAAATATTTTGGTGTATCAAGTTTCACATTATATACAAACTTGATTTGTGCTTATTTTTAAACTTGGAAATTAGGAGTTGAATTTTCCTTTTTTACTATTAGTATGGGCTTGGCTATTATTGCAAATATGTACAAGTGTGGAAACTTTGCAGTAAGATAAATTGAGTAATAAAATTAATTTCAGGGCAAGTAACAATCAACACAGATGATATTGATCTTGCTGGTGATGTTATTCAATCTATCACATCATTCTTGGGTATAGAGCATCTCCAGGTGATTTTACATATTATAAATATTTATGACTTACTCCATCAAAGATAGTAATAAAATAAGAAATATCTATTTAAATACAAGAGACCGATGCTCAAATATTTGGAAACGAAGGCAAAAACGAAGTAGTATTGTTATGCTATCTGTCACCGTAGTGGTAGTGTTGTCTTGTCTAGTCTTGTCTTGTCTAGTGTTGTCAGACCAGAACACAAAAAACGAATCCTGTAGAGCCCACAGAAATTTTTGAAATGAATAAAAGTAATAGCCTACTAGCGAAAAATACAATCTTAATCTACTGAAGAATTCATAGCAGTTGGATCGATAGTTGATGAGAAAAGCGAATTTTTCACGAGAAGGAGAAGAAATGACTAACAACAACTTAAAAACAAAACGAAACATATGTACAATTTGTGTCCAATAACTGTTTTACGTGAATATAATAATTTTTCAGTAATTTCAAGGAAGAATTTTGATTAAGTTATTATTATTATTATTTATTTATTTTATTTAGTATTTATTATTATTAAGTTATTATATTACACTTTAATGATGAGCAAGGCTTCACACATCATTATCATATCATTTGTAGGGAGCACTTAAATTTGGAGGACTGAAATAGTAACCTGTTTAATTTGTTGGAATGGGACAATGTTTTCGGGTTGAATGATTAAGAGCCTGCTGAATGATAGAATAAGAGCCTTTTCTCCCAACGAACGACAATATAGTCAGAACCTCAGTTTCTATGCTTTTCTGTGATGTCCTTTGTTGTTCAGGTGACAGCTGACTTTCCAGGACATTTTCAAGAGCTTCACGGTCTGATTGAAAAAGCAGGTGAAATGCACACTACTCAACAAAGACTCACTGCAGAAATGTCTGATCATTCAAATCTGATTAGAAGTTTAGTGGTAAGTTTCTTCAGTTTTCAATGTTACTTCGGCCTCTGCAGGTGTGTCATGACGTTCACTTTGACAGACAGTGTAATTTATATAATTTATTTTGTATTCATATGTCAAGCTGCCAAATATTTTTTATTGTCTCTTTCGCAGTTCGAGTTGAACTCTAGTATGAATTTTGATCAGGTTATATCATACTGAAAAATTTCATTCAAAACGTTTCGGCATAATGTCATAACAGGATATTTTTGATTTTGAATGAAATGAAATTTTGTTTTCACACTCAAAATTCATGTTTAAAATAAGTGGTTTTTAATCCTCTCACAACTATATAGAATGGAAAATGTTAAACGAAAACCATGATATAAGAAGATTCGAACACATTTGTCCAGGGGATATCTTTGTACACATATTTATTCTACCATTTATATATCCAAGTCTCAAATCTCTGTTACTTTCATGTAAAAAATATTCAGGTACGTGCAGAAGATTCCAGATTAATGGGTGATCATACAAATATGAGACGTGGTTATTCAGAGTTATATAGCCTAAATCAAGATCTGGTTAATGGTTATCACATTCGTTGTAGCAATCATACTGAACTGCTTGAATGTTTGAGACAAGTTAACAAGGGCATACAACGTGCTGGGAACTTGCGCGTTGGAAAACACAAGACTGGAGTTGTAAATGGCTGTAGAGAAGCAGTGAAAAAAAGTGATGCATCTGCTCTTGTTAGAATTATGAAAGCCGGATCAAATTGACATATAAGCGACTAGGGTTAAACTGTTCCAAACCACAAGTCACTGAGGCTTGCAATGCTTCTTTAAGCGATGTATAACGTGTTGTGTAACCGATGATATCTTCAACGAAGCAAATGGTTGAGAGTTTAGCAGCTGCAGATTGACGTAGTATTGTACTTTTCTGCTTATTTTTGCACATAATTCTGGCCATTCTGTATATTTTTTGCAAACAATACTGGCCATACATTATATCTTTCAATAACTGTGTTGCAAAGTAAAGCCAAGCATTTGTTAAAAGTAAGCCAAATCAACTTCAACTTAATTCTCTTTTCACGATGCTATCTGGAACCCAGCAGTGTAGTAATCCACTTACGAGCTGCTTTACCTTGGCTACTTGATTGACATCTGTAATTGTAAATTTGAGACTTTGACATGTAGGCACTTTTGGTAGTAAGTACACAGGTACCAATGTAGGTTGTTATTTATCTATTTCTTCACTGTTATTCTTTATATTTACACATATTGTGGAGGTTATTTAGTTTTATGCACGACTCTGCTCTTGTGTAATTGTCTATTTAAGTATTTTTGCAATAAATTTACTTTTATAAGTTGTTTGATCAAATTATTTTTATTTTGAACAGGTCAATATTTTCCATTGCCCTAATGAATGTAGCCGTAATAAGCCGTAACGATATGGACACTATGTCCGTATTTTGAACCAGTGCTCTCTTTTTTTGATAATATTTGGTATTTATTGTAACCAAGTGTAGTGTATATCAGGAATAATTGGAAAATCGTACTACTTTGTAATTATTTGTTATAACACATAACTTTTTACGCGCCCAACGTAACCGGTAGCCTCCCGCAATGTATTGTGTCTGCGAGAAGTGGGGTATCGAATGAATAGATTTGATGGACGTGGTAGCTTGGAACAGTACAGTCATGGGGAAAATTAAGATTGAAAAAAAAAACAAGTCTACAGATTAAAAACTAAGTCTACAGATCAACTAATTTCGTCACGGTAGTTCAAGTTCAGGAGGATCGTTAGGTAGGCTTACCATACGTCCCGCTATAGGCGGGACAGTCCCGCTTCGGCGTTCAGCTGGCCAGCATAATACATGAACATTACCAATCAGCATATTCTCGTTACTACTCGTGGCGTACCGGTATCCTACTTACTAAAGGTGAATGCGTTTTGTTAGCTAATTTTGTTGTTAGCTAACATGAAAGCGTTATCAGTATGTAAAATCAATACTAATTGGTCCTGTTCTGACTTGGAAGTAACATTGAACATTGAAGGTGTTATCTACAGAAAAGCATGCTTGGGCGAATAAGTAAATTATCAATGCTTGAAAATGGCTGGCTATTTTATTATTCTTTCCTCGGTTTGCTGTATAAAAATCTAAATTCGAATTTATTTGTATCGTTAACGTCAATTCCTTTATATTTTTCGAACTGAGCCGATATTTGGGCAGAAAATATGCGCATGAACTCTCGAATACAATATGGGCAATGAAAACAGCCGAGATGGCTTTAAATGTAGTTAAATCCGAAAATGTAAAGTTAAAAATCACAGCTAAAGGTTCGTTGTCTTTGAAGGCGTCCCGCTTTGAAGTCACACAAATATGGTAACCCTATCATTAGGGGATAGATTAGCGGTGTGGCGCATCGTGCGTTATTACCCTGTATGGGTGCAAAGCCCATGTGGAGTAATTATGCGCAATAGGATCACTGCACTCCTCACTGCCGCAGGGGGTTCACGTAACCAATGGTCGGTTACGGCTTTCTCATCACTTTCACCAACATCCATGCATCTGAAAACCAATAACTGGCTATCTAGATTCTAGTCCCATACCCGATATGAACCAGAAAGCGGACGATGGGCCGTAGTTCGCCATATGATTAAGCCGTCTTATCGCCTTACTTTCCTCTCCCCATATATGCAAATCTTATCATAGATCCACAGTTAGTTTTTATGCACACCTGAAAGTGCCACCTAGACGCATTGGCGCAAGGAACTATTGTCATGTATTGCCATCACAAAATCAGCAGCTACTAGCAATCAGTAGCAGTCGGTCATTTCATAGTTGGAACAGTGGCGAGGCAATGAACAGCGGTCATCTTAAGAAGAAAATAAAAAAAAGTGCATTAAGATCACAGCACATAAATTTCTAAACGGTGAACGTCAGGGCAGCGAGCGCCACAGATCGATGGTCGAGGATATGGTTCATTTAAGAAAGATGTAGATCCGTGGTTCCCAACCATTTTTTCTGCACTACCAACTTTCGTTTTGGACATAGCATTGATTCCCCACAAACTAAAGCCGTCTAATTTAATGAATTTGGTGAGCCCATGTTCATGGGCTAGTTCGTCCACCTAATTCAGACCACCAAATGTTTTAGCCTATTTCGCCACTAAGCCGAACTTCTCTTATATGTCACCCTGAATGTCTACATAAATGATGTTGCTTTTGAAAATATGCACCTTTTTGGTGCATAACAAACACTTATTCATTCGTGGAAATTGTTAGTAATAGTTTGTTAGCAAATTGTTTATTTGACATCTATAAATGTAAACAGGTATTCATGTTAGTACAACACGTTTTAAAGTGTATGACCTCGCTTTAATTTCCGATGAATTCGAACCATGCAGCAATATTTATCACAGAGAATAGCGTTTCTTTTTCAATATTCAGTCTGTCGTACAAGGGAGCTCTGTGTTTGGTGTTAAAAATAATCTTTCATGTCAAAAAATACTCAAAATGCAACGTGAAGGTAGAAAAGCGAAACAAATTGATCCGAACGTGATCACAAATTAACAGAAAATCCCAACTTAAAATTTTGAAAAGATATATGAGATTGCTGAAAGGAACACAGGATTTTAATATTCGCTTGGATGTAGTCCACCATCAAACAATTCCAAGTTTTTATACTAGAAAACGTATTATACCTTTCCACCACCTTATGCCTCATCCGATATACAATACCAATATCTGGAAGAATGCTTATCGCTCATCGAAAAATATTTTGAACTGAAAGTTTTGACACAAAATCTCCTTTTTTCGTTCAGTTACGCTATTTCTGGCAGTGTGTACGTGAAGTCCCTTGAATCTTGTATGAACTGTTGACTTCTGACATCTCATTTGAAGTGATAAATTTATATATTAAAATCCTTGCGAGTGTTCGCTTTCGAGTTTTCTCAAGTTTTATGGGAGAGCAACACATTTTGCTTTTATAAAGCTAATAACATATATATATATAATATATTTCTAGCATAAATGGTCAAAAAAACACTCTTTATATTGGTGGCAACGACATAGCTAAAGAAGGAGATTGGAAGTGGCAGGATGGTACTGATGTAATAATGAGAGGAGAAGCGGGATATCCAAACTGGTTTGTTTCCTAATTTTATTTAGAAAAATTGCAAAAACATAGACAATATATTTGGACACGAGTAGCTTGTATTATTATAATTTCTACTCTTATGACGTGAAATTGTCAGGATTTTCAATATTACAGGAGCGGTAATCAACCCAACGGCGGGGTCGCCAACCTCCATGATGAAGATTGTTTATCAGTTGGCAGAGAGCGGTACCAGTGCGTTGATGTTTACCGTAATGAAAACTTCTACTACATTTGCCAGAAAGATAATATTGATTTTTCTCTGTTCGTTTCATGAACTAACTCACCGAGATTATTATGTGTCATTTATCTTCAAATTCCGCATCCGAATTCAATGGCTCTTTCGTTGAAATACAAAGCATCAATGGCAACCAGAGAAGGTGTTTTGCAACAAACTGCAGCACCGCGACACAAGTTGAATGGTACAAAACATGTAACAAAGTATCAACCGAAACTACAAGAAGAGTCCATCAATTCTTACAAACCGGATCAGCAACATTGAATCTTCAAAACGCAAATATTGCAGATGATGGATCTTACAGTTGTCGTTATCGAATTGGTAAAACTTGGAATTCTACATCGGTATAACATGAAGGTATCTATAATTAATTATTTTGGTTTGTAATCTTTGCCTATTGATCTTGTGTTATTTATTTTTTAGTGGCTGGAAATCCCCCAATCCAACAAATATCGAATAACACCTGCAACTCTAACTTTATCCTCTCATAGCAACCAAATAAAAATGCATTTGGATTCCCACACAAGTGAGTTGACCATTATGCATATTTATGCATTAAGTGCAAGATTTTGTTTATTTCCCAACCTCTGCTCCAAATAAAGCTCTGAATAAGCCACCAATATCTGTGGTCATTTTCTGACAATATTGTAGTGAACAAGCTGTTAATTTCTCGTTGTCAAAATTATTACACTTTTTTCTGGGATCATGGGTATTAGGGTTGGTCGAATCTTTTTTCTGTAACGTCAACATGAGCAATCCTATCATGCTATTACTACCCGACACCGTCGTGCATAATGATAAACAGGGTATAAACAATGTATATATATTCAATGTCCACGGGGACGCCACACCTTTCTAACACAATTTCAATCATGAGACGTTAGTAGTCATTAATAACAAATATATATATATATAATGATTAATATTGTGCAAAATTTTCTTGTATTATTATCAGTGTAAATTCTATTCTGTTTCATAGAATAAAAGTGATTCCGACCTCAGGTGGGTCAACAAGATGAGTGGATTCGCCAACATCTGAGAAGCTGTCAACTTCAATAACCAGTTTGTCGCCCACCACAACCTACAATATAAAAGTACGAAATATTAGTATAATACAGTACATGTATCTCAGTCATATGTAATATATAAAATACTTCTTTTTGTGATTACATTTTCTCTGGTGAGATAGCCACGGTAGCCTACATTGAGTCATTTTATCTGCTTCAATTGTGACAGAAAATCTACTTTTTTCGTGAAGTTTGAAGCTACCTGGCTATTCTGCCAACTTATACGTTGGTATTATAATGTTCTCAAATTTTTTTTTGTCAGATAACTTCATGTGTAACGAAAGAAATTTGTCCAACCAATTATTCTACCACACGAAACGAAACAACAGGGGAAGCAACTTTATCTGTTGAATCGTCGTCAGTTGCTTTGTACAAGAATACGCATACCTGCGTCATTTCGTGTCAGATAACTTCATGTGTAACGAAAGAAATTTATCCAACCAAATATTCTACCACACGAAACGAAACAACAGGGGAAGCAACTTTATCTGTTGAATCGTCGCCTGTTGCTCTGTACAAGAATACGCATACTTGTGTCATTTTGTGGGTATTACCTAACAAGACAGAAACTGGAAATTCATATATCGTGGTAAGTCAATATGTGCATTATCGATTGCGACTTGCAATCGTAGATCAGCTCCAAGTCTTGGTTCTCCGCGCTTACTTCAACATCCTATCATCACCACCAATTTTGTAAGGGCTTTCTTGGTGAAAAGTATAACAACCGATGACACAACACGAGTGTTTTAATGCAACTTTACCTGATGATTTATAGGAACTGAATCTAATTTCGCAAGATTCAAACTTGAAGACAAACACGAAACTCATAGATGTGACGTCATTATCCCTGTATTTATTCAAACCTGAACCAAATCGCAACTTTTCCGCTTCGATCCCAATATTCAATTGTGTTTAGCCTGTCAAAGGTTCTTGTGTGGGGAATCCAACAGGTATCAATTGAATTCAGTAATTATTGTTTAAATTTTTACAGTTACTATACTGAATTAAAAATGATCATTGATAATTTTGTCACTCGTATAGTCCCAATGAAATTGTGATTAAGTTTCAATTCTTGCCTTTACCAAGCTTCGTTTTCAACATGAAATTTGTAAATATCGTTCAAAGCACTGATATTAGAAATTTCTAAAATGTATTTATTTGTTATTTAATTAGCCGATATTAGAAAACTATGCAACCTATTTCGATATATATATATATTTCGTCTGAAACCTAAATCACTATTAAGTTTCAACAAATAATTCCAGGCAACGGGTAATTAGATACTAACTGCTGTTCTGAGAACGTCACTTTTGGAAACGAAACTTCATTGCAGTAACTTGTGAATTTAGCAGACATCAGTTGACGTGAGACATTAAACAGGTCATTTTCTTCAAAAAATTAGGAAATTTGGAAAACGCTTCATGAAATATATATTGTTTAAAAAACTATTCTTTCGGTTTATGAATAACGTCATTTAAATATTCATTGAAAACGAATTGGATGAGACAAGTTCAAAAGATTTTAACCGCCAACAATATTTCTTCCCTGAACAATTTTGATGCAAACAATTACAACGTAGATTAAGCAGCATTTGCCATTTTCCAGAAAATACTCGAACACAATACAACACCGCCCGGAGTTTTTAACTGTTTTACTGACCTGTTGCCTGTAATAAAAGATTATATTCTGAAACAGGAGAAATTGTTCATTTTGTTTTTCAAATTGAAACTCAATTAAAACTAAATATGATTCAAAATATATGTGATTGATAGTGTATAGCAAATAATAACAAAAATATTTTTTATGAGTTATCAAGTCAAATTTATGGCTATTCAACGACAATATCCCAAATGTAATATTTTTTTACCTTGTAAATTGCTCTTACAACTTTAATAATATCTGTTATAGTGAATGATGCATCATTATTTACCTACAATGAAAATCCTGCTATGTAACTAAATTTTTTAATGATGTTGCTCTGTAGATGAATTTCACAATCTGAAGTGTGCAGATAATTTGAAAATCAAAAACTAATCGGATGATTTTTTTACAGCTTTTCAATAATTGACAAAACAAATGGTGCTGTTTTGTTTTGTTCCTTTGACACATCCCTCATGTAATTTTAATCAATTTCGTTTTGTCGTATGTCAACCGCAATGATACAAATATTGAACAAAATATTGAAATGTCCACAATAGTTTTTTTAATACCTCGTTATATGATAAGAACAGTTGAACGATATCTGCAATCCTTTGCGAGTATTTTTCAAACCCATTTTTTCCCTGAAAGGATAAATAATGGGAATCATATATATATTATATTGTAAAAATCATACAAAGGCTTCTGTCACAAGTAATGACAAAATGAAAAAAGTGTTGAAATTCATTATGCAGATCTGTGTACAGGGTAAATAACCCTTTTGCGATTTTGCTTTAATTAAATATTGTCAAAGACATATCTAACGTTCTAAAATTGAATGATTCGGCTAAATTTTGTAAAAAAAGAATTGAGAAAGCCTTTGGTAATTCCGCGAAAAAGCTGGAAATTCCATGCTCGCATCTAGTCAATGAGCCTGGTCATATAGTTACGCGGTTTGGATATCATAACATATTTCGCCATACAGACTATAGGCATTACGATATTAAAAGTTTGGTAATCACTGCTCTAGTTACTTATGGCTTTTCTAATTATTCAAGACTTCGCATTAGGAACGAATATCATAACATACTTCGCCATACAGACTATAGGCATTACGATATTAAAAGTTTGGTAATCACTGCTCTAGTTACTTATAGCTTTTCTAATTATTCAAGACTTCGCATTAGGAACGAATAACCTGTGAACTATCTTTTTAATATTGATTCGGATTGGCGACTCAAATTAAACTTGGCCTGTTAATTGATTCAGCTATTCAGACAAACCAGAGGAAATAATAATTTCTCGAATTGCGACACATGGAAAGATAGGAGAACATGAGGAATGTTAAATTTCTATAAATAAATGTGTTTCTAGATTTGATTTCACCCTGTGATAATATTTTTCACTATATGCCAGCGCTTTTTCCATTTCATTATTCCTTGATTAAGTTTGTCTGCATAGAAAGGCTCCTTTTTACATTTTGTTAACACCAAATTAGAAAAGCGCCAACAAACTTACTCAACGTATGAGTCGCTCGCTATACGGAGTCTAGTAGAAATTTACTACATAGTAGTATACTTTGAAAAAGTCGATTTTCTGCGATTTATATTTTGCTTTGCCTTTTTTTTTATACACAAATCATAATGCCTACAGCCCTACATCATATGCGCTCTACAATGTGCCACTAGCTAGCTACCTCATTGCTTCAGCCAATACTTCATTGAAGTATATTGCACCGCGCAAATACTTACACGTCAGCAATTACTTTACTTCCTTCTTTTCATCTTCAATATCAGAATAAAATAAGAGAACGATACTCAAATAACACGATGGCCGGTGTTTCTTAAGTATGCGTACTAAGATGGCGGACACCGGAACGTAGTATATGTACCACGTTAAGATTAGGCCAGTGTTTCCCAAACTTTGTTGGTGGAACGAACATGGTTCGTTCACTCTTGTTTACCCCCTTTTCCTGCAATTCTGCAGTTTGCCAGCTGGACTCGCCTAGTTGCTCGTTTCTATTATTTTCCACCCTGGGACTGTGCTCGCACTCGCTGATTCTATAGCCTACTCTTTTATTTCCTCGGCACTTCACTGATCTATATCATCTTTCTTTAGCGGCTTGCCTGCTGCTTCATCTTCACCATCTTAATTTTCCTGGGCTACCCATCTGCTTCCTTTTGGCCACTGCGCTGTGTGTGTGCGCTGATCCTGCCCTAATAATTGCGACATTTGGATGGCCTATCATTTCTCATTGACGGCTTGCCTGCTGCTGTCTGCCCATGTTTCTGCCACCACCTTCACCATTTTTATTTTCCCCAAGCTGCTGTCCTGCAATCGGCTCCCATTTCAGCACGACCACCTGTATGGTGTGCTGATCCTGCCCTACAGCTCGGTGGGGTTCGAATTCCTGATACCTGGCCTAATGTTTAACCTATCTATAGTCTCTACGTACCCCCTGCGCTACCGTTACTGACGAAATACGGGCGTCCTGCTCCTGTCAGTTGCAAGTCGGATTATACGGTTCCGTTCTGTTTGGCTGTTGAAATGGTTATTTCGCATTGTTCCGATGGCTGTACGTATAGTATAGACAACGAGATGGATCTTCAGGTATATTCCACTGTTTTCAAACGATCCGGAACGTCGCGCAATGTGGATATCATCTATTGGCAGGACTGCTTGGTGTCAAGGCTGCAAGTCCAGAAGTCATCTCGCTTGTGTTTCACCGTTTGCGGACAGCCTTTCGTTGATGGTGAGTGATGATGTGCCGTTATCAATTTCTTTAAATATTCATAAGCTCCCTCATTTCAATGGAAAACAGATGACAAACTACTGTTATTGGTAGGCCTAGGCTACTTGCAGACTTGACTTGTGTAAAGAATTAATCACCAATTGCCATAAGGTATTGTTTCCCTAGTTAGCAGGTGATCTATTACTAAGTGTGAAAGGTTGAATAGATAACTGAAGTTTAACACCAGTGGTCATGCAAAAAATAGCCAGAAAACAAATAACTGGCTAACTAATCCCAAAATAGAATGGTAATCGTACGAGAGACTGTGGTTCGCCATATGATTTAGTTGTTGCACCTGGGATAGTTATGTGCGAGAGGATTGCAGCTCTACTCCCACTGAGGGTGGTTCACACGGCCGCTGATCGGTTACGACATCCCCCACCATCCAAGTCCATGCTTCTGAAAACAAATAACTGGCTAACTAATCCCAATATACGTGTCCCATCACTAATTAATTAATAACTCGCTAATTGTACGACATAATTCATCCAAAATCAATAGGCTTCAGGTCCGAGATATGATGAATGCACATGCAAGATTTGGAGCAGATTCAACTTCGCCTTCGTGAGATATCGCTTTCATCTAACAGACAGACAGACAAATACCTATCAACATACTTACCGATCTCAAGATCGATAAGTAATAACCTGGAAGTAACATTCCATAATTTAGAGTAAAAAATGTATCTGCCCCCACAGCCCTTTCAAATGGAAGATATGATGCCTTGGAGGTAATTTCTATCAAATATTTTACAGTGTTATGATTCTAGTGAAAATGGGCATAGGCGGCTTCTTTTAAAGTGTGGTAGGTCTAGTTAGTCGTTGGTCTAGTCGAAAGACACATCAAATGTTTATGCTAACAAATGCAAAGTGATATTGCAACGCATACAAGTTAACAGAATTTGTTGAAATGGTCCTGTCTTTCTTTAAAATCCCCCTTTTTCTAACTTTTCTTTTCCTCTCTTGGGATGGCGAAAATTCAAATATTGATGACTTTTTTAAGCAGCTGATAATGGGTTATCTTTCCTTTTTCCTGGAAAGAAATTAAACACTAATCATCATTTGACAGTGCCAAGTTTGTGTATCAGATCAGTAATAGATTACCTGATAACTAACGAAACAATCAGACAACACCTTCTGACCATTAATGGGGATTTCTTTCAATTTAAAACTCAAATATGCCTACCAATGTCGATAGTTTTTAGGATAGGATTTATCTTAAGGGGGGGGGGGGGAAACTACCAAGGTGATCAGAGATGCGGCGGCGAGCGTATTTTTTGCATGAGCACTGGCGTTAAACTTTAGTTATATATTCAACTTTTCACACTTACTAATAGATTACCTGCTAACTAGGGAAACAATACCTTATGGCAATTGATGATAAATTCCTTACACAAGTCAAGTCTGCAAGTAGGCCTACGCCAGTAGTTTGTCATCTGCTTTCCATTGAAATGAGGAAGCTTATGAATATTTAAAGAAATTGATAACGGCTCACTCACCATCAACGAAGTGCTGTCCGCAAACAGTGAAACACAAGCAAGATGACTTCTGGACTTGGCACAAAACAGTCCTGCCAATAGATGATATCCATATTGCGCGACGTTCCGGATCTTTTGAAAACAGTGGAATATAACTGAAGATTCATTTCGTTGTCTATACTATACGTACAACCAATGGAACAATACAAAATAACCCTTTTCAACAGCCAAACAAAATGGAAACGTATAATCCGACTTGCAACTGATAGGAGCCAAATGGACGTTTTTGTTTTTTGCCGTCCAGTAAACAAAGTCACGTGATCCGTGCAACATAATACAATATAATACAATACAATATACAATATATACAATACAATTGTAGCGTACCGGCAATGTATGAAATAATTATCCAGGTTCAGAATATCTTCTAATATGATCTGACGTCAAGTTTTCTCTCAATAGTCCAAGTCTTTATGCTATTTTATGTCATTTATTAACAACTCGAACAGTAAACGATTCAAAACAACCAAACACTCCCAAAGGAACGAAAAGCATAAAATAAAAATAACAGATACCAGGCAGTAAAAAGGCAAGAAAGACCACATACACAACAAAAACACTGACAAACCCTGAAATCCAAGACAACTCCAAATAAAAACCAAATGACCCCTAGAATCTGGTACAATGAACTAGCTACTGCAATTTGCAAAACAGGCCGAAAGTAACTTATGACAGGCATTTAAAAAGACTATGAACAATTCTATAGGTGCACAACATTTGAACAATACTGATGAAAGCTAATTCCACGATAAAACTGAAAATACAATACTAGGTAAATGAACTGTAATGGCACTGTACTGGTAAAAACAATAACATGGTCCTTACGTCAGCCCACTGTCCAGCACAAAACATCCGACAGTCACACAACACAGACAAACATCCCTGAAGACCAGAGGCATTCACACAGACATTCAAAACCCACCAATCTAACCGAAACACTCAGACGACTGCACTCTGTCACACACAACATACACCAACAGACCACGCTGCCCCAGAGAACCGATCGACCGTGTCGCAGCGTCTAAACTGCTAGAATACCAAATATGGAAACGATATCACATGACGTCATTTAACAGATAAAACAAGGGTCCTAGAATACCAAATATAGAAATATATTACATGAAGTCATTTAACAGGCAAAACAAGGGTCGTCACACAATATACAATATTTTGTATATATTTGACCGGGTTCATTTCAAGAAATATCGGCCATTGCTGCTTATAAATAAATTACTCTTATTTTAAAGCAATTTCGCCATTTGCTCGTGGGCAGGAATAGGCATGTCGGCATAAACAAAACCTTTCATCGGTCTTTA